AGGTTAATTATTCATTAGAGTGTAGGTCCAGATAAAGTAGCTCCAAAGGACTTGCAAATAGGTGGCTCAATAAGCTCCCATGGAATTGATAGTTGCGATATCTTTTTCTTGTATTGAGCCACATAATCTTAAGGGTTAGTAGTTCCATCGAACAACTTAAAGAAGACTAGGATATTCAGCTTTGGGGAATTCTAACTCGAGCAATCTCTTCCATGAAATGGGATTCAACAAATCCATCAGGGAATTCATAGGCTATAGGTTTTGGCGCACCTAGTAGCCAAGTGAAGAGCTTCATCATTTCCTAGTTCCAGGCCTCAATGAATGTTACTTTCTCATCCATAGAGTTAGCGTCTCTAGTAGAATCTTTTTCAGGCTTCTTAATCTTGTTATCCTCTCCATCAGATTCGTCTAATAAGATCAAGGAGAGTTCAGGAATATTTTCAGTTCTAACCCTCTTCTTCTTGTTGCTCTTGAAAGATTCAAACTCATTGTTTTAATTTTCCAAGGTCTTTTGATGCGATTGTTGTTGGTTATTATGTGGCTGATGTTTAGTCACCCACTTCAGCCATTTCATAATAAAATGACTGATGTGGATGACTAAACATCAACCACATTGACACTTTTATGCATCTATTAAACAATCTGATTTTGCACTACCTGGAACTAGCTAAGTTTGATCAATGGATTTACTTCGTTATATGACATTTGTTTCAAATTTTCTGGATATTCTATTGACAAATTGAATTGGGTTTTGCAGGTATTGCTATACTTCCTTGGTTCCATGCATACCTATATTAGAAGTGGAGGGGAGCGACTTCTTCCTAAGTGGTATACTGAAAAAGGTACTACAACTTCATCCTAGATATCACATTCAGTTGTGCTTCAGCTAATTAAGTCATGCCCTTGTTTACTTAGATATTACTTCCTCTGTTCCACAAATATTGCAACAAAAGGATGAATTACGCATCCTAAAGCACATTTTATATGTTAAATATCTATTATTATTTAAGTTTATAAATTCTAAAAAGTAGATATTGTGAAAGTATTTTACAAGACGAATCTAACAATACCTTACATGACTATATTTTACTTTACATATAAATTATAATTCATGGTCAAACAAGCATGATGAATAGTGCAAAAGTCCAGTTGTTGCACTATTGCAAATAATATTTTTTTTGCAGCGTTTTTAGCATGCTGCAATTTTTTTTATTTTATTTATTTTTTTTTTATTTTTTTTTTGTAGTGTTTTCTGTATGCTGCAAATAATATGGATTTATTGCGTCAGCCACATATGCAACACATCAAAATGCTAAAAATAATAATTCCTCCGTTCTTTTTACTTGACTTGTTTCTTTTATCACGCTTGCCAATGCACAACTTTAATCATCAATAACTTTTATTTCTCACTAATTAAAAATTATAAAAGTTATACAATGTGATAGCACTTATTTAGACGATTCTAACAAGATCTCACATGAACATGTTTTTTCCTTACATATAATTCACAAAAAATAGTAAAATGTGTATTGGTAAATAGTGTAAAAGTCAAAGCGAGTCAAGTAAAAAGGAATGAGGAAGTAGGTTTTAGGCGCGTTGCAAAAAAATTTATTTGCACTAGAAGCTATTTGGTTCTTAAATGATTTTTTTGGGTGAAGTATGTTTTTTCTGTTTATTGATGAGATATTTGCTTCGGGATAAGCAAAGATTTGGATATGACCGGGGGAGTTTGATATGTCTATTTTATATAGTGAGTTTAATATGTGAAGTGCCTTGTTGTGTGCGTGTTTCTTCATAGATTAGAGTTCATTTCTTACTTTGTTTATTCTAGGATTTTCTTCGTTTAGAATAAATACTCTATTTTTAAGCGAGATTAGGACGTCATTCATTAGTTAATTTCCATATTTTAGAGTTCAAGCTTTATTTCTTAGCTATTTGTTCTCTCAAGATCTTAGCTTATGTAATCCATAATTTTTGTTTATTTTGGTAACAATTCTTTTCTTTATTTATAGTAATTTTATTGCCTTGATTAATTATGTCTTGTTTAGTTGCTTTGCTTAGTTTAGATTTAATGCGTGTGAGTAGTTTATTTCTATTGTTCTTAGGGATCCGTAAATAATATGAATGGATGATTTATTGTTGTTCATTGTTAATGTTTTAGATTAATTTTCTATTGATTGAATTAAGTTATGCAATCAGATTTAGGCCTGATTTAATTGTATAAGTTAAGCATATTGATTCGAGATTCGATATATGAGAATTGATGTTTAGGCTTAGTTTTATTAGGGAGGTCAATTTATTATGCTTAAGTCAAGATTCAAGAGATGTGATTTAATACCGCTAGATTAATTTGTGATCGTAATACGTAGCAAGCCCTTTATAATTTGGTTGATTTGTGCATTGATAATTGATTGTTGTCCTTCGTCTAGGAGCATTATTCATTGGTGAACCGATGCCTAGGCTTTAGTTTATTGATATTTTTATATAATTTTTTATTGCGTTAGTTTAATTATTCCTTTTTGCATAATTAATATAAAATCACAACTTGATAGATTAAATTATATTAATTTTTTTTTTTTGGCAATTAAAGAGATTTTATTAATTACCAAGAGAAACAGTTAGAGAATACACCCAAACACCAAAAAAAACTGGTACAAGCACCAGAATAACCAAAAAAGCAATAAACAGCAAAACCAACAAAACACTAAACATAATTAACAAAAAAGCCTCATAGCATCACTGCATCTGCAAGCAACCTTGAATCTGATTTCTCTGAACATCTTAGCAGCAGAAATAGCTTTGTGGTTTTGATTGAAAACCTGATCATTCCTATACAGCCAGATAGCATATAAGCATTCAGCAAAAAACATCAAGAAGACCCGATGCTTAGCATTTGTCTTCTTAGCACTCTTTATAATCCAAGCAAGTTCATCAGTAAAGGACCCAGGAGCTCTATAAAACTGCAAATGATTTAGGATCATACCCCAAATCTAAGCAGAGAAATTGCACTGAAAAAATAAATGCTCCACAGTTTTAGTGGCACTATTACAAAGACAACACTCACCATTATCCACAATTCCCCAAGTAACTAATCTGTCTCTGGTAGGAAGTCTATTGTTGATAGCAAGCCAAGCAATAAATAAGCTTCTAGAAGAAGCTTTGTTTTGACACAAAACTCTACTCCAAGGAACTTTAATAAAATCACCTTGAAGATACTTGTACATTTCCTTGATATAGAATGACCCCTTCTTAACAAATCTGTCCCAACCACCAGCAGAGGCAATGACATGTGAACAGTCAAAGATTTTCCTGAGAGCCCAAGAGCAGTTAGCAGGGTAACTAATACTAAGGATATTTCTGTTCTTAGTATAGTATGCATCAATCCATTTCACCCAGAGCCTATCTTTCTTACAAGAAATAGCCCAAAGAAGCTTGCAGATAGCAGCTTTGTTCCACAGCACCATATCTTTAATATTCCAGCCCCCTGCAACTCTAGGTAGGCAAAGAGTGCTCCAAGAAACATGAGCTTTTTTTGAGGAAGCAGTGCTGCCAGTCCAAAGAAACAGTCTACAAATCTTCTAAATTTCTTTGATCACCTTTTTAGGCATAATAAAAATCTGGCACTAATAAGATTGTAAGCTTAAGAGAATAACTTTAACTAGTTGTAATCTCCCTGAGTAAGCTAAAGTCTTAGCAGTCCAAACCTTAGCTCTAGCAACCACCTTATCTATCAAAGGTTTACACTCAGCATAAGAAAGCTTTTTAGTGGCCAAGGGGACACCAAAGTATCTAAAAGGGAAGGTACCTGCAGGAATCTGCAACTCATTAAGAATTTGCTGCTGAATATTAGAACCAATACCTCCAATATAGATGTTACTTTTCTCCAAGTTAGCTTCTAAACCAGAAGCAGCAAAAAATTGCTTAAAAGCTTGAAAAAGCATTTTAGCAGAAATGATATCAGCTCTGTAAAACATCAAAAGATCATCTACAAACATTAAATGAGTAAGATTCAATTTTTCACACTTAGGGTGAAAGTTGAAATTAGAATCATGCTTCAACTGAGCCATATTCCTTGACAAATACTCCATTCCAATGGCAATGAGAAAGGGAGAAAGTGGATCTCCCTGTCTCAAACCTTTCTTAGCAGGGAAGGGAGGGCTAGGCTTCCCATTAATAAGAATACTGTAAGAAACAGAAGATAGGCAAGTAAAGATCCAGTCTAAGAAAAGATCAGGGAAACCAAGCTCTTGCATTACATTCCTCAAAAAAGTCCATTCAATGGAATCATAGGCTTTTTTAAAATCTACTTTAATCATGCATCAAGGAGAAACATGCTTCCTTGTATCGCCTTTGATAAGATCAGTAGCCAGCAGAATATTATCAGAAATATGCCTGCCAGGAATGAAGCCAGTTTGACAGTCACTCACAATACTACCAATCTCCAACTGAAGCCTAGTAGTTAAGATTTTAGCAATGATTTTATATAAGACTGAGCAGCAAGCAATAGGTCTAAAGTCTTTGATCCTAGTAGGATTAGGAACTTTAGGGACCAAAGTGACAGAAGTGCAATTAACTTGCTTGAGAATTTGCTTTTTGAGAAAAAAATCTTTGATAGCCAAGCAAATGTCATGTTTCATAACACTCCAAGTTTTCTTGAAAAAGAAAGCATTTAGACCATCAAGACCAGGAGCTTTATTCCCATCAATGCCCATCAAGGCATTCTCAATTTCAGCATCAGTAATAGAACTGGAGAGAAAAGCCCTTTGATCAGAAGAAAGCCTAGGACCAGATCTCATAGTAAGAAGATTGATCATAGGAAGAGAAGGAGCAGAAGACCCAAGAAGACCACCATAGAACCTGATAGCTTCATGCAGAATATCATCATGGCTTGTAAGCTTCATATTCTGATCATTGTAGAGAATAGAAATTCTGTTAATCCTATTCCTTTCTTTGATAGAATAATAAAAGAATTGATGATTAGAATCTCCAATCTGCAACCACTAAATTCTAGACTTTTTTCTCAAAGCTGACTCATTAATATTCAACCATTTCTTAAGAACTGCAACTTTATCACTTTCTTGCAGAAGAAGAGAAGCATCAGAATAGTCAAACTGTAATTGGGTTTGAATGTCATGCAGATCATTTCTAGCAAGATCAATTTTCTCATGAATACCCTTGAATTCCTCATTATGCAAGTTTTTGAGCTTATCCTTAATCATCTTCAATCTAGACCAGACAGAAAACATAAGAGTACCCTTAACTTCAGCACTCCAACAATTCTCAATGATGGACATAAAGCTATGATGATCAGCTAAAAAATAAAAGAATTTGAAGGGTCTCCCACCACCAACAACATTCTCAATACACGACAGTAAGATTGGACTGTGATCAGAAGTAGAAGGATTCAAATACTCAGTAACAACATCAGTTTTTGTCATCGTCCAATTAGAATTCCCTAAACACCAATCAATTCTGCTAGCAGTACTATTACTAACACCACCCTTATGCCAACAAAAATAATGGCCAATACTGTTAAGAACAGTAAGACCATAAGCAGTAACAAAATCAGAGAAATCTAGAATTTCATGCAGAGTGACAGCAGAGCCATTTATTCTATCAGTAAGATTCAACATAGTATTGAAATCACCCGAAATCAACCAAGTATGATTGTTCACAGAGTCAGCAATGTTGCCCAAATCCGACCACAAAAGTTTCCTAGTATCAACAGAATGCAGGCCATAAACAACAGAATAGAAAAAAGGATTCCCAGTAACATGTTCAGTGATCTCACAATGAATCACTTGAGTAGAAACAGAGCAAACAGAGACAGTAACAAAGCTAGGTTTCCAGCCTAACCAAATCCTACCCCAGTCACAACAAGAATAATTCATTTCCCATTGCCAATGCCTCCCAAACTTCTTAACATATTTACTACAGTTTTGAGGTTTTATTCTAGTTTCAAATAAAGCAATTACTTTGATATTATGAGTATTTATCAAATTCTTAACCTCAGTTACCTTAGCTGGGTCATTAAGACCCCTAACATTCCAGGTGCAAAGATTAATCATTCAAAATCTGGAGGTTCCCCAGGCACATCCTGAGCAAAAGTATCCCCAGTAACCACATTCTCAACCTCAGGTATAACAGAATTAAGAGCATTGAAACCATTAGCAGCTTGAATATGAATGCCCCTATTCTTTGTCTTCTTAGTAGCCACTCTCCAGCCAGCATCAGCACCAGACTGGGTATTAGCAATAATCTGGTGCTCATGAGTAATAGTAACAGGTCCTGGCTGAGCCTGCAAAGATGTTGGAGCTATAGCTTGCTGAGGTTGCACTTTCTTAGGCACCCAAACTTGCTTTTGGGGTGGCTTCTCAACAGCTATTGGAGCTTTACCATAAGCAGAACAGTCATGTCCTGTAATTTGGCACTTCTTACAATAAGATGGCTTCCAATCATAAACCACTTTTTGCTTAAACTCAACCCCTAGGTCATCCGCAATCCATACATGGTCTGGTAAAGTAGTAGTGACATCCATTTCAACCAAGACACGAGCAAATGAAACTCTCTGCTGTCTGGTAGTACAATCATCAGCAAACAGAGGAACACCTAAGGTGCTAGCAATCCTGCTCAAAGAATCAGCACTCCAGTAGTTTAAAGGAAGGTTAGGGAGTTTAATCCAGAGAAGTATGACCTTCAAAATCTCCTCATAGAAATAAAAATCTGAAGACCCCCTAATAATCAGAGGTTTATTTAAGAAAGTATATGGCCCTCCAGCTAAAATCACATCCCTATCTTCAATAGAATTAAATTGAGCAACGAAATAACCATCATCATGTAAGTAAACATTAGGCATTTGAGCATGATTCCAGACAGTAGTAATATACCTCTTAATTGCAGAAAGAGTTGGAGTATTGCCCACAACATACATGATAATTGAGGCAATCCACTTAGCATTCATTGTTTCAATCTCATTCTTCTGCATTTGCGCCACTTTCTTACCCTCTTTCACAGTTGGAGCAACAAATTGCAGAGATACACCTTTAATTGTCAAAGGAGATCGCTGAAAAAAACTTGTCCAAGTAGACTTCCTTGCACCATCCATATCCAGGCGTCGTTGCACCTGTCTACCATCCCCACCTTCCTTCTCAGTCACTTCTTGATCCATGACAGGAATCTCCCCCATAGTATTCAATCGATGAGTTTCATCTTCAACCTCAGGGATAAAACCAGCTCCAGATCCAGTAAACCCTAAATTCATTGTTCCATTGGTTTCATTATTCACCATTGGAATACCTAGGGTCCGATTTTGTTCCTTCATAAGCTCATGCTCCTCCCTTGTAATGAGTCCAGCACTTGCATGAACTAGAGGTGAACGAAAAAGTTCCACCCGACCTCCAAAACCATCATCAGCAAGCATTGAGCTCAACCCACCATTTCCACCAGATCTAGCTGCAGAACTACTAGGAGCACCTATTGATGATGATTCACCTTTCTCCGAAGAATTATTAGCAGTTGATTTCTTCTTTCTGCCCATCTATGAAGATCAGTGCATGATAGTGATCGCCCTAAACATGCACTAGAACCCTAGAGAGAGAAAGTATATTAATTTATTAAGAATAAAAGAACGTTGTTTCCCTTTGGATTAGACCCAACTACCCTTTCTGTTTTTAGTAAGAAAAGACTTAGGAATTACATTTGATTTTGTGATTTGACTTTATCCTATCAAACGCACCGCACCAACCACCACCTTGTGTCCTCACGCAGCTCCACCACTGGCGTCAGCAGCAGACAACCATTCTTTCCTCCCTGGCCCTCCGCGCCTCCCAGCCAAACGTCGATGTTTCCCCTTAGCTTCCTCGAAACCCCCTCCGACCCTCCCATGCAACCACCACAAAAACCCTTCTGACACTCCCATTATTTTGAATTACTCCTTCCCCAACCCTGAAACCCTGGCGGCTAGGGTTTTTGATGGTGGAGGACGAGTGTTTGGGGATTTTTTGGGACTGGGGGAGGTGAATTAAGGGAGTTGCGAGTGGTGGTGGTGGCAGCTGAAGTGTGCAAGAATCATTGGCCGGCTGTAGCCCATTCAACCGGGTTGTACAAGAATCGTCAGTGTTTTCCATGGTGGTTGAGCTGCGTGCCTAGACGCAACAGCCGAGCTTCTACCTGGCCGTGGCGGCAGGCTATTGTGGTGATTTGGCTACGCGCCTGGTTGCGGCAACGACATGCCGACAGTCTTTGTTGCATGCCTGGTTGATGCAACCTCTATTTTTTTTTTTAAAAAATAAACTAGGCTGGTTCGGGGTCGCCGTCAGCTGGCATGGGAAGAGGGGATTGGGCTGGCAGTTAGGTAGGTGAGGATCCTCTAGAGGAAGGGTGGCTAGAAGGTGGTAGGACGTTGGCTGGGACCCATTAATGGATACCATGATAGAAGTTAGACGGAGGTACCAAAAGCTATATTTTTAGAATTTAATAGGTACCAAGATAAAATTAAATTTTACATGGGTACTAAAAGTCAGCAAAGGCCATTTTTCTTAAGGTATTAAAAGTCAAAATTTCCTTAAAATAAAAAAAGAGGGAGAGGCAAACCAAGGCTGCATAACAATGGTGGCTACAAGGTGTTGATGGTTTTGGACGTGACGAGGGAGGAGGATGGAGGTTGACACAGTGGAGGTGGATAGGGTTTAATGGAACTAAAATAAAAAACAAAAGTACAAGAAACATACTAAGCGGCGGCCAACGACCCATAAGGGATAACGGTGAACCAGCGGTGGCGGCAGTGACGGAATCCGTTTTTCTTTCTCTCTCTTTCTCTCTCCATTGTTCTCTTTCTTCCTTTGTCTTTTTTTGTTTTGAATAAACGAGAGCTCAACACCTTTTTTTTAAAAAAAATCGACAATTTTCAACGGATTTTTTTTGTCGGAAATTCCTACTTCCAACGAAATTTTCCGATGGAGATTTAGTTTCAAGGGAAAATTTCGTCAAAAATAGTAATTTGTGACAGAAAAAATTTCGTTTGAAATTTCCAACAGATAAAAAGGAATTTCTGTCAGAGTATTAACAGATTAAATTCCGTTCGAAATTTGGAATTTTTCGACAGAACTTTGTGTGCGTCGAAAGGGTTCCTTTAAAAAAGACATATTTCTAATAGTGTAACTGTGTAAGTGGTTGAGCTTGATATGATTGTTGAGGAACTAGAAGTTGAGGAAAGTTAGGCATTTACAAATGCATAACAAGGAGTATTCATGTAATTATAGATATGTACAAACGAATGCATATTCTGGTATCATTGGATGATCAAATGGTACCACTGAATATACAGTAATACTATACATACACATAATGGTATTATATATGCATTCAGTTGTACAAATTTTTTGCATAAATAGTACCAATGAGGATTCAGTGGTACCATATAAACTTTTAGTGGAACAATCAACATGTGGTCCCCTATCACGTGATACAATCCGACCAAAAAATAGGTGGGGTCCACCTACAGACCTCTTTCTTCCTATCTCTCTCCTCTTTTCTCTCTCTATCATGTGTTTTAAAAATATTTTACTTAATGTTATGCATTTACAAATGCCTAAATTTCCTCCCTTTAAAATTCCTCATGATTGTTGCCTTTTTACCCTACTGAAGTGCTTATGTTTTTCACGTGTCGTGCATTTACTAGCCTACGTGTCACCTTAGGATTGAAGTACGTGGTGGGGTATTTATACCCCCAACACATTTATTCAAAAGCTTACCACATCACGTCTTTAGCCAATAACATGTAGGCAAAATTACACCCATTGACACTAACTTGTACCACTAGTTAGATTGACACCATTTTTAATAAAAATACGTAAATAACATAAATGATACATGAGTGGGTTTCTTACCAGAAATTAATCATCTAATATTCTAAAACAGGGTAAAGACTAATATAAACTCGGTCCACATTAATATTACTGTGGACCGAGCTTCCATCACGTGACTATCACAGATTCTTTTTTGGGAAGCTTCCTTTTAATTTCCTCTCTCCTCCTGACATATCATTTTCTCTCTCTTCTTTCTTCTTTTTCTCTCTCCTCCTTTGATGTTCTTCTCTGTACACTTCAACAATGGTGAAGGCGAGAGAAGAAAGTTTGTTAAAATCAATAATGGTGAAGGCGAGACGATCATCAAATTGGAGTAAACGAAGAGGATTACGATCATCAATTGGGCGGCCTTGCAAAGGTATTTAATTAGGTTTTTGATTAATTAGTTCAATTTTTGTGTAAATCTTCTGATTCTGTTTAATTTAACTTTAGATTTTCAATTATAGTGTTTAAATTTCATTTTTAAGAGGTATTTTAGTATTTGATTTGATTTTTAGGGTTTAGTTTTTACAATAGCTTAATTCTACTGGTTTTCCTCTCTCCAGAGTTCGTTGTTCGTAGTTTTAGTGTATTGGTTTTAGTCGAAAAGCTTTAGAAATTGCAGAATGTGTGCTTATGCGTGCAAATATAAGAAAACAATTACTGGACCAAATATTAATATAATTATAAGATATCAATTGTGATTATATCAATATAAATATGATTATAAGATATCAATTGTGATTATATCAATATAAAAGTGACTATATGAATATAAATATGATTAAAAACTAAAAATTAGATTATATCAATATAAAAATGATTATAAGATTACAATTATGATTATATAAGATATCAATTGTGATTATATCAATATAAAAGTGACTATATCAATATAAATATGATTATAAGATATCAGTTGTGATTATATCACATCTTTCATTAATAATAATGATCCTCATATTTATTTTGTATGTTTTATTTACAGAACCAAATCACGATACTGGAGAAACTACTGAACCAAATCATGATATCGGAGAAACTACTAAACCAAATCATGATATTGGAGAAATTACTGGAATTGGTGATTAGGTTGGAGTTCTTGACACTTCTAAGCTTCTAATGTCCAAAAAGAATGTGGTGGAATAGAAGATTCAGAGTTGATTATGTATAGGAGGCGTAAACTCAAAACGATGGTTTTTGAAACTGGTGAGAAATCTGGT